TTTTTCAGTATTTCACTTGTTCTGCTCCTTTCCAAAAACTGAATTGAGCTGCTGTAAGGTGATATGAAGAATCTTCTGCTGCTTTGGTGAAGTAACCTAATATGTTGGATCCATTTTCATCATTATTCAATTATTTAAAAGGCCACACGAATTTACCAATCTGTAAATGAAAAAACAAGATAATACACAGGATCATAAGAGGTAAAATCACTGTCATATGTAACTGCAAAAAGACAAACAATACTGGTCTCGAGTCAAAATCCAATTCAGACATTATATGTAATGTGTTACCATTTAGAACAATGTAAGTGGACAATAAGTCTTATAAGTTTAGAAGTTACATAAATGAAGCTTAATAAGGTCTAAAAATGCAAATGAATGAAAGCATTTATGAATGAATCTACCTATCTATCTATTGCATAGTATGTATGCTACAGATTAAACCCAGGGCCTTGCTAGTTAAGTGTTCTACTGAATGAAATCTTTTAGATTTACATTTTTCTCTCATAAGTGAAATAGATACTTGTCCCAGTATTCCTTATGGATCTATACAATACTTACTTGGATACTTAGCTACCTACCAATTTAGAGATTTAAAGCTCTCATGTGCTAATTTGATATACATTGAACTGACAAAAATTTCTCGATTTTTAAAAAACTGAGACAGAACCTCATTATTCAAGGCTAGGCTGGCCCTGAATTCATGTGAGCCTCCTGCTTCAACCTCCCTAAACAGGCTTTTTTTTTTTTATAAGAGAATTTCTGTATCTGTGGGCATGGTCAGTAATGACATTCTAATTTGGAGGATAATTTTTATATATCCAACTTAGCCGCTTTGATCTTGATCTTCCCTTATTTTTCCTCACCATAATAGGAATTGAACCCAGGGCCTATGAGCTGAGTTACATCCCCAGCCTTTTTCTGTTTCTTACCTTTTTCTTACTTTAGACAGATTTATTTAGTCACTAAGTTGCTAGGAAAAGGGTGAACCTGTGATTGTTTTGTCTCAGCCTCCTAAAATAGTGAATATGTCTGTGAGGAAACGAAGGGGAAAGAATTTTAAAAGGGTCCAAAGGTATTCAACTATCTATCTATCCATCTATCTATCTATAATTATTTCTCAAGCTGAGTGACAAATACAAGACGATATATATTGCTCTCCATGGTTCTCATATACTTTAATATTTAATTGGGCATAGTGGAGAATGCCTATAATCTCAGCACTTGGGAGGTTGAGGTAGGAGGAGCACCCCTAGTTTCAGGCAGCCTGGGCTACATAGTGAGTTCAAGGCCAGTTTGACTATGTAGCAAGACCCTGTCTCCAAAAAAAAAAAGCATATAAAAACAAAAGATCTAAATAATGTACTTACAGATGAAATACAGTAGCAACCACACTGTATGTTCCTTATGCATGCATGGAACAGTCATCAGAACTGCCTATGTACCAGTTAAAACCTCATTTCCAAGGAATAAAAATTATGTTCTCTGTACTGTAAAGAACTTTTAAAATCATTTTTGTCTTGCATCCCCCCACTCTTCTTCTCCTCCTTAAAGAAATTCTATATAAAAGTCAACAGGAATTGTTAAGCAAATATGGATGGCAGAAAAATGAGCTTCTGAGGTCCACAGCAGTGTCTTATGTCTAATCAGGATGTGAAGGGTATCTATATGGAGCGGGATCTGAATCTCTATAGGATGCTGTTATTTTCTTTTTTTCTTTTCAAAGTTTTATTGATAAACATATAGCAATGAGTGTTATTTTCAAAGTAAGATGGAACAGGGCAGGTTTGCTCACTGACACAGGCCTGGAGTTCTGGGCCAGACTGTAGTCGGAACAGCTAGTTTAGGAGTATTTGGTCGTGTTTCTCTACTTCAGTGTACATAGACATTTTTTCCCCCATACTGGAAACTGAATTAAGAGGGAGTACTAAGCTATATTCCTAGGTGCCCAGCCCCAAAGATTTGTTTATTTGGTGCAGGGTCTCGCAGTTTGGATCCTTGTCCACTTGGATTGCATAGTGATCCTCCTGTCTCAGCCTCCCCAGTGCTGAGATTACAAGTGTGTGCCACCATACCCAGTTTTGGGGGCCCGCTTGGCGTTAGCATGACATGTAGTACCGGAGATCGGACCCAGACCCCTGCACTTGCCAAGCAGGTGCTTAGACCAATGAACTATCCACCTAGCCCCTTTTAAAATTCCAGATAGGGTCCTGCTAAATTGCCTAGGTTAGTTTCAAATTTACAACTCTGTCTCAGCTGTCTGCCCAAGTGCCAGGAATCACAGGCATGTGTCAATGCATTTAGCCAGTCCTCAGATTTTCATGAGCACTGATTACAAGACAAATTCTGGTGGGAATTAAGGTTTTTTTGGGTCTTTTTGAGACTGGGTTTGCAGTTCAGGCTGTCCTTGAGCTAATTTTGTAGCCCAGGCTGGCCTCAAACTCATAGTGATCCTCCTGTCCTATCTTCCCATGAGAGCTGGGATTACAGGCATGCACCACTATACCTGGCTCAAGATTTTTAATATAAACATTAATATAAGCCAATCCATAAAATTATTTAGGAAATAGTAAAACTATCAGGATTTGATAAATGATGGAACACGGGGCATGAAGAAAAAATGTAGATCTAATTTCTAGCTTGTTCAAAATGTATGATGACATGGTCTCTGTAATCATTTCTTTGCAGGGGGGTCAAATCAGAATTTCTTTGTTCTTGCTTTTGTTTTCCAACAGGGTTTCACTATGTATTCTAGATTAGCCTCAAACTTGCAATCTTCCAGCCTCAGCCTCCCATGTACTGGGATTATAAGTATGTACTACCATATATGGATATCAAGTCAAGATTTCTTATAGAAAAGATAATTAATGACCATATACTTTTTGTCATAAGAATTTGAAAGCACAGAGAATCTGATGCTCAAGAAAGGGAGATGAATCATCCCTTAGACACAAAGGAACTCAAATTATAAACAGAAACAACTTCTTTCTTTAAATATCATGAGACATGTTCCATATTTCTAGCTGATACCTTTTCAGGCCTTTACATACTCAATCCTATAGTGGAGTCCCAATTTAGGCAGTGTTTCCTTAAGAAATATAAACTAGTAATGCTTTGCTATTTGTATGAAAGTTCTATAACAAGTATATACCCCATGACAACTACTTACCTAACCACCCTCATTAAATAAACCAGTATTACATATCATTTAAGAATGTAAAAGTACGTGACAGGGAGATGTATAATAATTCGTAGTCAGATGAAGTAAACTCCTGTGGTTTGGATGCTTAAATGCCACTAAAGACCCATTAAGTAATGGACCCAGGGTGGCCTTGGAAATATGGTGGAACTTCTAAGAAATGGGTCCTACTGAGAGATTTTCAAGTCATGGGAACATGATTAAAGGATATGGTGGGATCCTGGACCTCCCTTGATCTTTTTTGCTTCCTGGTCACGATGCAAACAATTTTGTTCTGCCATGTGCTCCTGCCACAATGTGCTGCCATGCCACAGGCCCAAACCAATGACCATTCATGGACAGAAATGTTTAAAACTTGGGGCCAGGGAGATAGTTCAGTAGAATAAGCGCTTGCCTGGCAAATGCAAAGGCCTAAGTTCAATCCCCGGTTCTGCAAAAAAAAAAAAAAAAAAGTC